TTTGCTTAATCAAAGATGGTGTTTGACTTTATATTCAGGTCAAAGCATGCATTTATTATAGAAATGATAGAATCTTCCAAAAGATCGTGAACTGGTCTATCCTCAGAACACTTGATCAGAAGCTTGTAATACAAATCGTGCAGGCAGGCATGACAATATTCATGTTTCTGATTCCGACTTAATGTGATTTTTCGCGGACTATTTCGATTTCGTGAGTATTAACGTGGCAACCTAAATCAGTAATATATGAATTCAGCCAAGTCTAAAAGGAGAGCTTGCCATCATTTAGAGCAACTTCCGGAAACACGGATTCCTTTTCTTTTTTTACGTGGTGTAGATACCAGTATTGAAACACGGCCTTATTTGCAGTCATCTGTTTTCTACTCACTGCCCTTCTGTCCATTTTTTCCTTCAGCGAATGCGGTCTGTGATACAGATGACGAAGTACTCGAGAGAGTTATTTCTACTGACTCGCTGGCGTTGGGTAAGACCCTGTATGATTGTTATCACACTCTCTTAAGCCCCTTCCGGTAGTTATGTTATTCGGTATTGTTCTGTAAATTTTATTCATTAATTGCTGTATTTGGTAATCTTACCCTCTCCTCTGAACCTTCAAGTTTAAAGCCAGGGTGCTTTCCTTGTCCATTAAAGACACAACTCACGGGAAAGTGTCCAATGCCATTTTTCTCTTGTAAAGATCATGATCCCTTCCCATATTCCAATTCTATTCTTTGTAAAAATTAGTATTGGCTTACCTTTTACTTCCCGGATAACGAGCTATCTCGACGTATAAACAGATAACATCTGATACTAACTCGCACTCTATTCCCGTTCCTTTCTGCTTTTTCGTCTGACGTCTTATTCCTGCTGGGTCGTTTTATTGTAGTCAGCTGCCGTAACTTGTGGTTCAGTTTATTTTCACTCTAATTTTCACCATGGCACCAGTCGTCCTAACCTGATGCACTTATGTGGAACTGTAATTTCTATCGTAGTGAATTGATGGGTTGTTTGTTTAAAGTTCTTCGTCGTTGTTGTTATTGTTGTTTTTGTTCCACTTCGGCTGTTGCTAGTACCCTTAGCAGTTTGCCTTTTTAGTGTATTTACTTCTCCGCCGGAGCAAGCTGAGATTTCTTGCGATAACACATTCAGATGTATTTATCTTTTTTTTAATTTATGTTCTTGTTTGTTTGCTTTTATAGCTGTGCTTGTTTGTATTATTTTGTTCGCTCTGCTCATTTGAGCCTTGATTTGCAAATCATTCAAAATAACGAACATTTTTTGTGAAACCTATGGTGCAGGTAGATCAACAAATGACCTTAAAAAACGCTGAAAAAAGTACACTTAACACAGCGCATCTTAGAGGACAGGAGCTTACTGACAGTTGTTTCAGTAACAACAAGAAACACTCACATAAATTGAGAGAAAGAAAGCTGTCAATTCTTGAAGTGAAAAATTAATCAACTAAATAATTTACCTCGGAATCGCGTACCAAACATGCATAATTCTAACCCATAGTAGGTAACGAGCTCAGTGTTTAACGCTCATATCAGAATAAGTCGTCTCGTTAATCCTTCTTTTTATGTACATTTGCTGCATGAAATCCTTACGTCGAGTTTCCCGTCTTCCACTGAACGGTTCTGTTTTTTAACTTTTTTCTCTTTTTCTTCATAAACTCTGGTTTTTTTCGTTTCTTCTTTGACTAAACAACAGAAGTTGGACTTGACGTTCCTGCTGATATACAAAGCCTCGACAGCTTTGAAATCAGCGTAACTACAGTTTAGACAAGGTAAAGTTGAGCATGCTCCTACGCTCTCTGAAGTTATCAATCCCTGGAGAGTAAATTAATATTCCGCATGCCTAATTTATTTTCGGTTAACAGTGTAACTTGATAAAACTTCAGTCATTACTAGCGTGATTTAAACGTTAAAATGTAACACTATGAAGCCACGAGAGAATCAATTTTTTTTTAATTTCGAATCGTATGCAGCGGGACGTTCCCGTGTTGAATTAGCCACAAGAATAAAACCAAATATAGGCTAAAATTAAACACTGAAACTCTCTACAATAACATTAAACACAACTGTATTCTTTTCCATTTCCCTTGATTTTACACTGTTCATAATTTGTCCTCGACTCGTGGCTGTTATGAATTTTTGCAATCATTGATAGGCAATTTTTATTTTTTATTAAAGTTAGACACGTTGCTTTGCTTCTTGATTCAAAATCGTTTGTTGACAATTTTTGTTTTTTTTTATCGTGAATTCAGTATGTGGTTTTCTTGTTTGTTTGTTTATTTTTCGGCTGTGGAGGAAGCGACTGTGATCAGTGTTACACCCTTTAGTTCTTGTTTTATTTCATTTCTCACCGAGCGCACTCTTTGCTTTTCTGTGTTTCCTTCTCACTTTTCTTTTTTTTCGTTCTTGTTACTGTTAGAGGGAAGAGTTGGGAGTAGAAGAAGTTTTTTTCGCTGACTGCAAACTTCTTTGTGTATTTTTTTAATCCTTAATTTTTGCGCAGTTTTCAAATAACACTTAAAATCAAGCGCATAAGGGCAAGTTAAGAAAAAATTCTTTATCAGCTACAAGGGAATTGTTCATGCTTGTTTCTATTTTCCTATCATTCGTCTCACAGTCATGCCACTAGAACTTGAACATCGTTATTACAGTTGAAAGTGAACCGTCAAGCCAGACCGCCTTACGTTTGGATCATTCGAAAATTATTTGTATCAACAATTCCTATTGTATGATGTCTCATTCGTCTCCGCTGTTTCTTATCGTAGCAAGTTCTGTCGGCCACCCTTTTCATCTACCTAAATTTATCAATTTTCGTTTTTCTCGTGTGAAAAAAAAAGTGGTCATCACATATAAGACCTCATGTATTCCATCGATGGCTTATTAATTTTTTTTTTAATTTTCTTTTCATTTTTCCGTGCAATAGAACTGAATCACCCCTTATGGCGGGTAGCTGCGCTGTCTTCAGAGTCACGTAGAGCACCGATTGCGCGCCCGGAAAGCGGCTTTGAGGATTCCGATTTAGAAGAAAGTGCACCATCTTCGCGGGTTTCCGCCACCTGGGCTAATTACATACTTCCTTCTGTCCCGCAAAGCACTGATAACGTTGTCATAGACATTCATCCGCGTCCTCGCGCGAACACAGACCTTTCTGAGTCACCAACCTCAGAAAGATTCACGAAACTTTATAACGATACAAGTAAGGCTACCTCTTCTGGTTCAATTTCGACAAATATTTCTTGTACGCCCCGATCAAACGGGGCTCCACCTCCTAAACCTCCACGAACATTCGAGACAGAAAGGTCCGAGGGGAGGCAGAGTTTCAGATATAAACCGCCGCCGAAGCCGCCGCGAACTTACGAGTACGACTCTCAAATTCAAGCGAACTTTTCTTCATCTTTGTATTGGAATTTTCCTCGTCCACGAGCACAACGGTATCAGACTCAGTTTTCGTCTCCAGATCTGGACGGAAGTAATCTTTCCTCTGACTCGTTGGATGGAAAAGAATCTGGAGAAATACTTCCTCCTTATAGTCCACATCGTAAACAAAAACAGTTTACTTTTCGGATAATCAACGACCATGTGAACGGTGACCTTGAACACAATAGAGAAAATTCCTCTTTCTCTAAACAAAGTTGTCATTTAAATGGCGATGCTATCCGGAGACCGAAGGCACGGTCGATTGAGTCATCGGGCCCCGAGTCTCGGTTTTCGGTTTCGGATTCGGGTCTTCATATTTCACAAGAAGAGGAATTCTTACTAGGATCTGTTAAACCGCGCGGGGGAAGGCGAAAAAGAAAGCCGATTAAACAAGCCACTTCAGAGATACTCCAGCACTCATGCTCCACCGCAGACCAGCCTCTGACCACGCGAAGAACTGATGCGAATTTTTTAGAGACCACTTTATAGCATAGCTGGAAGTTATGGGGATTTGTAAGTTGTAAAGCCTTAGTTTGCACATGAAGGGAAGTCCCGTTTGTCTACTCCCTAGGTTTAGTTTTAGTGGAGAGAGAGGTTAACAATAGTTGTGAAATATTTTAAATTATTAAGTAACATAAGATAAGTAACATTATGACATACCATTTGAAACAAACCCTAGACAAGAGCTTAAACAAAGTTTACATTTTTACGTTTGTTACAAATTTAAATAAGCTTTGTGGCGGAACCCAGCCAGAAAGGTCTAGTTAGTTCTTCGAATGGCCGTTACTTTTGCAAGTCATGTAGAACAGGGTGTCTGCAGAGTATTGGGAAATTCCTTTCTTTCTTTGTGATGATTTGAGTTTCCTGACCATTGCCATTTTTAAGAGAAATCGTAATTTAAGTATTTATGTATAGACTTACGTGAAACTGACTGGCTTGCGATGATCCATCGGGCTTAAATTCCTTTTAAACACACTGAAGAATTTCCCTTTTGAAAAATTTATTACAATAGCGGCTCCTTATTGGCCAGCTAGTCTGAACTTTCTAAACGAGTTACTGACCGTCATGAAAGCGCTCTTACTCAACTGATACAAATTATAACCTTACGAACTGCAATATAACTGCTCCAACAAAGCATATGCAAAAAGCGCGGGAAAACCCCTTCAGCCAATAACTTTTGGCCTTTTACTATGATCGGTTGTAAAAATGATTCTTTCAGATCTTTTTAAAGTAATTTTAATCAATGAATTAGAGCCTTTTATTTAAGAATTGTTATTTATTTCAGATGTATCTAGTATGTATTGAAACTTTATGAGAAAAACCAAGATATACATAATATATAAGTTAAATTGGAGTTTTAATTCAAGAGATATGAGCTATAAATATTAATTATTGCCTTAGTGTTTTTATTTGACGGTTTTTGCCGCAGCTTTGTTCGTTACTTAAAATTTTTTTTTTTAACATTTATTTTATTCTATTATCAGTAATTTTTTTGTAAATATTTCCACAGTGCTTTTCATTTCACGCTGTGCTTTAATTCGAAGAGATATGGGTAAAAAATATTATTGATAGATATAGATAGTAGATGTAGATTCAAAGTTATTGCATTGCATGCACAAATGATGATTAAAAAAATTGATTATAATTAAACTTGAATTACAAGGAGATGAAAGGTTCCATAAATTCCCATGCTATGATTCAGAGGTCCTGTGTTTTTCTTATCAAGCGTCATATTTCTAAATTTACGGAGTACTTAATCTAAAAATGTACTCATTGGAAACATTTCGTTATGGCTGTTGTTTTGTCTTCTTTGCCAAATTTAAGCAGTGAGAGGTCAGCACCAAATTTCCTTCTCCTCACTTATTGTGCTTCTGTAATGTCACACCTAATCCGATCAATTTTAGGTTACAAGAAATAAACTTACACTACAACGAGATGAAAAATCCCATAATTTCTCTAAGAGTTCTTGCGTTTTGCTAACAAGCGCCACTTTGAGGGATGTATTCGTCATAGTTTTGAATTTACTCGATCTTAGAATGCGCTCATAATTTGATTCTGAAATTAGCTCATCATGCCACATATGCCATGGTACCTCATCTGTCTGTGCAGTGTTTGAACGGTTTAGCAATTAATTTTTGAATGCTCAAGCCTCTCCTCTTGCAACAGCCATTTGACGGAAACCCGATCTGGTTTGTAACCCAGTGTTTAAAAGTAAGCTTGTTATGCCCTGTACACAATTCTACCGCAAATCGTTTTATGCTGCGTGTTGTACATCATAGATTTAAGTGTCACCTTTTGACACAAGCCGTTTGACGGAAATCGAACCATGTGAGTGTCGCGTCTAAGTCGGGGAGTGCAGAAAGTCAAAGTAAAGTGCCGCTTTAGTCCAAAGTTCAACGTCGCTGTCTATGGCAGGGTCCTTTTTAGAATAAGTGTTACATAATGTACGCTTTAGATTTTCTTGTGACTTTCTCTATTCCTTTTAAAACTGATTGACAATAATTATTAATGGAAAATTTGGATGACCCTTAACAGAGTTGAGTTTTTTGCTTGCTTGTTACGTAGAGGGTGAGGTTGAGGTTCACAGTGAAAAGGCACTCCCATCTGGCTTTTGGCAAACGCTCCGTTCGGCTACTGTGAAAAACAAGCACGAAGTCTAGGGATCCATTCCTCTCGTGCACCGAGCCGACATCTGGGTATCAAGCTTCACAGCAGTTTTCTGACGAAGTTTGGGGGTCAAGACGCGTGAGTTCTGCGGAAGCATATTTTCTCACCTGGGGGTGCAAGTCATGGATTTCGGGGTCTCATAAGATAACCAGGGCATGGCCATGCTAGTCTCTTACGTGTAGAGCTAAGAGACTAATATGGGTGCGCCTTTGGCATCTTTCACATCGGACCCCCCGACGTTTGCGATCGTTTTGGATGTGCATGACCATAGCCTTAGTCCTTTGCTTTTGAGATACAAAGTGTGGTCGAAAAGGTAACCCTCTCTGGCATGTAAAAACATTCCATTTGGTGACTGGAGAAAATTGAATGCAAAGCATCATATATAGACCAATCGCCTTCCTTGTTGTGAGCAGAGAGATCTGGGCAAGAATCATCGGAAAGGTGGGGAAGTAAGTCGTTTCTTCAAGGTGGGGTGGGGTGGTTAAGGTATTTTGGTCCGCAATGGCTACTTTTCGTTAGTGCCCTGAAATGTTCCGGGTTTTTTTCCAAAGTTCCAGCAGTTTGCTTTAAAAATAATGTGAGCACTGGAAAGTCTGTCTTTATAAGGGAAAATGATCTCATTAGAAGCGTGTTTACGTAATAACCCTTTGTAAGAACTGGTTTCTGCATAGCGCATAGCCAGCTGCAAGGAAGGTAGGCAGTTTGGCTGGGTATTATGCAGTCAAGTCGACCTTGTTTTAATTATGCTTGTAACGGAAACTCGATGACGATACATTACATTAACTTGTACATGGTAGATCATTCTCTACCTAGGCAGCCCAGGACAAAGAGTCCCTTGTCCTCTGCGTGAGTCAATAAAAAATGCTTTCGGCTACTGCATGCACTGCATAAAAACATCAAGTGAACGAGTCTTTACAGATGTTTAGAAAAATAAAAGCGTTTTTAGTGTTTTACAAACCTCAGTCAAGGCTTAAGCTGAAGAGTGGAAATCTTTATTTCAAATCTACTTTAGATTTCCTTACAGCTCTCGCTCGTTTGGAGAACTTGGAAATGTTTCCGGGAAATATAATTCAATTTATAAACGTTCAACAAGCGTAGTGTTACTTATGACTTTAGATAGAGTAACTTTACACGTCCATGCCTCTTGAAGAGAGGTCATGCTACGATTTCCGATTTTGCCATTTGATGATTATAGAACAGCGTCCTCCTCTTAATTAAAGATTGTCTGAAATTGCTTCACGGTAGAGGAAAACTTTGATGAAAGGTGAATGGTCTTGTAATACTTACTAATAAATCGATCAATTAAATGTAAAACATTTTAAAGAAATGATCAGTTTCACAAAATAGTGGTGCAAATGTTAACCGCGTCAATTCGCGTCAATTCCGCGTCAGTACGAGGGGGAAATGTGGGAGGTTCAGTTTTTTATTTGTACGCGTTAATTCCTATTTGGACGTATTTTACAAGCACGGAAAACATAAAAAGAAGAGAATCCTCTCTAACTAGCAAAGATTAAACGGGTAACGTCTTGAGACTTGTAAATAACAGGACCATGCAGCATTTCATCACAGATAGCACGGAGACTTCACGGTCTCAAGTTATGAATTTGTGAATTCTGCTTTTGCCAGCGTCTGTCTTGGTCTCTTTTCCAAAGTCCAAAAATAAATTAAGAATCAGCAAACCAAAGGCGCTGATCACTAATTCAAACTGTGAAATATGGCACATTCTTTTTTTTAACCGTTATGGTCAGACAGTTCTGATTACGTAATAATGGAATTTTATGTCTGAATGTCTGAACGCATCGGACTGGCCTGCTTGTTCTCACCAGAAGTATGCAAATTAATTCAGCCACAACGATACTTTTTTGAAGCGTGTTGGTCTCTTGTGAGCCATTTCACAAGGTTACTCCCCTTTGTTTCAGTAGATGGGAATTGACGACTGTAGAAAAACGCTTAGCAGGTGATACGCCTTTCTGTCGGTATAAAACTGTGCAAACTGATCAGCAAGATGTTAAGAAACTAAAATTACTTATGTCTTCCTGTAGCCTGCCACCGAGGACAAACGCTTTCATGGTTGCTGGCTTCTGCTTGATATAAAATTTAAAGTAGCGTTCGTTACTTTACCTCTAGATTACGAAGGTCTAGTCTTTGATTTGTCATTAGGGTTAAACACTAAACTAAACGTGGAACGTTGTTCGCTTCTCATTGGAGGAAGAGGATAGGTAGTGCGTAGTACAAACACTTTTTCAAATACTCGAGGGTGTTTGCCATGCGATTGGTGGCAAATTAAAGCCCTGCAAATTTTCGCAAGAATTTTCAAGTCAATAGACCCGAAGATGATGGGGTTGACAATAGAGTTCGCATACATAAGAATGTTGCTGAAGGTGACAACCTTGCTGAAGAGCTCAGGTTGTTTGGAACCGTTTCCAAAATCATGCCATAACCACGTCACATGCGTTGGTAACATGCACACGGCAAACGCCACGACAGCGGCAACAAACACGTGGACGATTTTAAGATTTCGTTGTGTTGGCAGGGAAGCTGAACGCCGGCTACTGATCGAGACATTTGTCCATTGTCTTAGAGAGTTCTTGTCCTTGTACAATGCTCTGACTATGAACGCGTACAGAACGGTCATTAAAAGCAGAGGTATTGCGTAAAGAGAGGTGAAGATAGTGAGGGTGAACACTTTGCCACTGTAAGAACGAGGCCATAATTCTCCACATTGTGACCCATCAAGCCTCAGTGCAAGCGACAGAGGAAGTACGATCAAGCAAGATGAAAGCCAAAAAACAGCAATTGTTATTATTCCAGTTCGTAGGTGAATTCTCGGCTTCAGTGGTGTTACGATCAGTCTATAACGATCCACGCACATGAATAAAAGCGTCATAACTGACACGTACACCAAAACAGACTGAAGAGGATAAATAACGTGGCAGAGTGCAGCTCCATACGGGAATTCACCGATCATCTTTTCCCCAGCATCTAATGGAATGCTGACAAGGCACGTCCCTGCATCAGTGGCCGCCAGATTTAAAATGAGATAATCATTGATTTTTCTCTTTTTAAGGCTAAAAATCGCTTTAAATACCAAAAAATTGCCGATCGTCCCTAGGAACGTAATTAGTATTAAGAGAGTTACTGCTATGACCTGAAGTGTCTGCACTGTGTTGTCGCGTGGTTGCTCTGTGGTGGAATTTGCGATGTTGTCTAAACCATCGTTGGTGTAGTTCATCTTTCGCCTGAGATAAATGTCGATTACTTCTCCAGGTTTAATTTCACGGCATGGAAGCAATATGCTTCCGAGTAAGTTGTGTTTACTGACTTTCAAGAGGACAAGGTAAACTTTATGAGAACAACGACGCCGTCAAATTAATTAATCATCATCACCCAATCATGGAAGGTTATCCCTGGTAATCTTTAATCCCAATTCCTGCATTAAATCCTGAAATTCGTAACTTTAATCCTGTAAAACACACTTCAGATTTGCGACAGAAGACGAAGACCATTAGGCGGATGTCTGCTTATCATGTCGTTTGTTCAGTTCTGCGTTTGGCTTTATTTCATGCAGGTCACATTTAATGGGTCAACTTCGACCGAGTCTTTCATCGAGTTGACTGAACGATCAAGACTATTTCACTAAGCGGCCAAAAACTTTTAATTTGACGAGATTTATAATGCTTGAAAATCAGATTAATCGTTGTTCTCGGAGTTGGTACAAATCTTGAGAGAAAATCTCTAAAATCTATGTGAACGTTTTCACTCCTGTAGGAGTGACTATAAGGGTGAACTTTTCTTTACATATCAATATCAATACATGGCCAAGCAGAAAGGTCACGGGAGGAAGAAACCAATTTATCAACAAAAGGATATAGTGTGATACAACGCCAATTTCTCAGTGTTAAGAATACACGAATTTTAAAGCAGAAAGTGCAGAGAATGCACACTTAATATGAAGAGTGAATAAGTTAGTGAAAGCAGGATACCGAAACCAACGTGACTGTTTTAATTTTCCTATAATAACCTTCTAAGCTACTTAAAATAACATTAATGCGCGATGTCACGCTAAATTTTCTTGAAATTATTATCAAGTGTTTTTTTTGTCTTAAAATGCATTCCTTGTCAGTATGGACATTAGATTCGCCTCAAGATGTTTGTTGTTTAATAAATCGCATTACAATCACAACGTGCAAGACTACGTGCAAGCTTGGTATCTTTATATAGCGTGGCACCTATCCAATGTCCAACATACAAAAAACAAGGTCACGTTATTTCAGGCAATGCGCACGGAATCACGATGCTAATCAATGAAAGCTCTAAGCGCGGAATTCTATCGGCTGTTTAATAAACAAGTGTCATGGGCAAGACATAATGACCGAAAAATGCGTGCGAACGACGCCGCAACTCCTTATGGATAATGAAGTCTTGTAGATAAAAACAAAGCAATTAGCTCTCATAAACCAAATATGCTCCTTGTCCTGCTGCTGGCAGTTAGCCATCTCCTTTGTGGACGGTAGAGTTTAGTGAGAGCTTCATGAGACGACAGATGCTTCTTTCCTTGAGTTAATGTTATAAAATTCTCTGCCTTAGGAAATGAAGTAGTGAACGTCGACATGAAGGCTAATCTTAAATAAAGAACGGCGAGACGTGCCGGTTTTTTCCCTTCTTTTTTAGATTCTTTTACTCTCAACAAAAAAAATTTCCTTGGTTGAGGTATCTTAGACAGAATCAAGAGATTATAATATGTAAGTTGGATTCTCGTAACTTATCTTTCTAAAAAAACTGTTTTGCACATTTAGGATTCTTATCCCAAACAAGGCAGCGAAACACCTAAAGCTGGCCATACAGGTTCGGAAGCCTGCGTGTCGATGGACACATTCAATAAGCATTTCCTTGACAAGTCTCCGCGTACAAAAAGTGTCACATGTGTCAATTTTACGGTTGAGTGCTGAAAGGGACCTGCAGTTGCCTTTGTTTTGCTTTGCTGCGCCCTGTGATTGGCTCAAAGAACTAGCGCCACCCGCTCGATCAATCAGATACCTAACTCAAATCAATCCAAACTTGATAAACCGCGTTTTCCTGCGCTTTAGATAGTTTGTTTGTTCAGAATTAAAATTTTCAACATGGTGACAGTTTCCTTTGTTCCGATTGGCTCTTGAGATTCGTTCTGACCTTTCAAGATGCATTCTAAACACGGAACCCAGACAGGGAAAACTTGTCAGGGATGAAATTGCTTCTGCCGATGAATTAACAAGGACACTTGACAAGGAATATTGTTAAGAGTTTCACGGAATGTCTACTCCAACGTGTTTTCCTAAACATGAATGGTCGACAGTTTAAAATTGTTCTCACTGAATGCACATGTCTGAAAATCTGTCTAACTTAATTAGAAAAATAATGAAATTGATGAATTTATGAACTAAAGTACTTTATATAGATGCCCTTTGATTTAATGTAGTATTGATTTCAAACCACACTTTCCCTTGTTTTATATCTGTCTAACGCCAGCAATCTGTGGCATTCAGTGGCGCCGACAGCGTGTGAGCCACTTTTGTGCGTGCCATTACTCACAGTAACAGAAAGACGTTTGGATCTCTGACTTTTACGCAGCTGGTGTCTAAACGCTCCACGGAAGTTCTCGTTGAATATAAGATACAGGCATGGGTTGATTGCAGGATAGGCATGTGAGACAACAAAGAGGGTTAACGTTAAGGACGTACTGAGACAGATGTTAAGGTTGAACGTTAGCAGAAAGTGAGTGGCTTGCACTGGAAGCCAACAGAGGGCAAATATGGTCACTACGGTTATCAGCATAATGATGACTTTACGATTTTGCATTTCGATTCGCTGACGATTTTTATCGATATGTTCACCGGGTGCCCTTCTTTTCCACATGCGCAGCACAATCTTTGAATAGAGAACGGTCATGACTAATAGAGGAATCAGGTAAAACAAAACAAACCGGATGATCATCTCGTACTTCGTTATTTCATGAGAAGCTAAAAGATCGTCCACCCATCGCGGGGCGCATATGACTTGACCCGATTCATGGTAGAGCTTGTACTTGTAAAGTTCACTCGCAAACACTACCGCAGGAATGACCCATGTTGAAACGATTGCCGTCACTATCAGCCTAAAAGCCAGGGGTCTTCTCATTGTGCGCACGACTGCGTGGTAGCGGTCATAGGTCATGACTGTCAACGTCAGGATGGATGAGCCAATGGAAGTATAGGCAAGAAATGGCAGACTCTTGCAAAGAAAAACACCAAATCCGCCTGGAAACCACCTTACGCTTTCATACAAGTACGTAAGGGATAGGGGGATGGCCGTAATGACGTCAAGGATATCGGAGGCCGCCATGTTAACAATTAATATATTAAAGGTCGTCTTTAATTCGGGATAGTGGTTGACTAGGAAGATAATCATTGCGTTGCCAAAGAAACCAATGAAGAAAATGATGACGTAGGCAATCGTTAAGCCGATTTTGAGTGACAGCGTTGCTGGCTGAAAACTACATTCATTAGACACGCCAGGGATACTTGAATTCGACCCTGGAATAAAAGTAAAAAGTAAAAGACAATACAATAAGCCAAGTAAAATTCAAATACTGTTTTATGTGTTGTCAATTAGGCTTAATACCTATGAACATTGATAAGGTCCTAGGTTTCCTGGTTTCCTGTGACATATATTACATCAAATATACACAATTGTTACCTTATGTATGTTGCTTATTGTTTATTTTCTTGTGAAGTAGATTTTGCATTTTGTATTCCGTGTAAACACCTATGTTTCGATCCCAGTTCCATGAGTAGTATTGTCGATTCCAGGCCTATTTTTTCAAAGACGGCCCTCGTATATATAATTTATTAGTTTAAACAACTTATTATTGTGAGACTTCTGAGTACATGTTAAATCAAGTTGCTCCCTAGTTGCTCCGCCATAATCTCCAATCCCTTTGTTTTGCTAAATTATGTTAATAATGTAGCTGTTGTGATATGGAAATCTCTATTATTTCATGCACTTATCGCAAATAACTATCATCCGGCTTTCAGGGAACACTTGAGTGGAGTGACGCCATAAAAGAGACAGTTTGGCGTATGATACAAAGATAAAAATTATAAACATCAATATTAATTTAAGACTTGACCTGAGGCCGACATCATCTTACAAAATCTTAAAGACAAAGGCTGCAATTAAATTTACTTTGTTGTTTTAAGTCTTTTTTAAAATTTTCATAACATTTCTGAGAAAATAGACAGAAGGGAAAAAGGATAGTAAACTTGTTTCCTTGTGAAACAAAAGACCATCCATTCGTCCGCAAAATTGAACCGCGAGATTTACCAATAGATTTGCTAGAAAGGGTCTCTGTGTCACGAAGATTGGTTTTCACTGATTAGAAATTCTTATTCGAATTAAGGAAAATTTTACTTCTGGGAACAACCAGTTGGTACATAAAAAGCAGTAAGCTGTATTCTCTATTCAAACAAGTCAATTTGTTGGACATGTTTCAGATGCAGGCTTCCTCAAAAATTTCCCACGGTGAATTCATTAAGACGATGTCCAGCCTCAAAACTTTTCGTATGCAATGAACTCACTTGAACGAAAATCTCGAAGTTTTATATAATCATTCTAGGCGAGACTTTGTCTTTACACATCTTTCTTTCTAACTGTTGTTTTTCTGATTGCTCTATTATGTTTTATGTTTTAAACATCTGTCAACACAGAGTTTTCTTATTGAACTTTAAACTCCGATTGAACCTTTATGCTTCAAAGATGAGTTCATAGAAATCTTTTTATCTGTATCATATTTAAGTGTTTAACTCTCACCTGTGTAATTGGCAAACATTACAGACATCACAAAATCCTTGGCACTTTGAAATCTACTCTGATATCCCTGAAGATATTCTCTGTGTCAAAAGACAATAAGAATAGTAATTATTTTATATTTTAAATAGGAAATTGAAGACAGATAACAGATGACACGAAAAAAAACATATATGTTGATACCAATTTCCCATTTGCCATTGTGACCTCATAAGATTATATTGCAAAGATAACAAGAAACTGGAAAACGACATAAATGCAAAGCTACTTCTCGAGGTAACAGCTTTCGATCTTACAGTATTTAACACTATTCATGTTAAGATGGATAGTGCCACTTCTGTTTTATTTTGAAATTACATCACAAAAATTTTAGACACTCAAATGGAAGAATCAAACGATAATGACAAAAAGCAAGAGCTGTGTTTTTTTAGCGAGACCCTCCGGTGGCTTTCTATAAATTACACTTTTAGAGGGAGGACTACAATCTTTCAACAGTGTTGGACAATATCTCTGGTTTGTTTTAAATTGTTTTGTTTCGATTCCTTTTTTCGCTGATTTCGGACTTGAGAAGTTTCAAAAGGCCCTCTTTGCAGAAAGCAATGTATAGCCGTCTAAATAATGGCAGATTCCTACTTCACGCACGTACAGGCGACCACATTAGGTATCATTGCTTGATATCGCGCACGAAAATCGATTAATCTACCGGCAGGTCTTCGATCGTAAAAAAAAAACATTTTTTGAGTTAAATTCGAGTCTCTGCAGGAAAAGCTTTTGTTAAATGAGTAAAAAAAAAAAGGAAAATGCCAAATACGAACTGACCTACATACGTAAACTTATGTAAATACCATTGAAACCCTACTTATCTTAAAAAATGAATCAAATACCTAACAATTATCCTAACTTTGATTAAGAAATAACACTGAATTCCTGGTTCACCCATCGATGAGTCATCAGTTTTACATCAGAAGTCTCCAGAAAGGCCTACTTAAGAATCAACAAACCTTAAAACCTACTGTTGAGACAGCGAAAGCAGATATTTCACACATATTTTGCGATTGAAAATGTAGCCTTAAGGGCCATTTTTTAAAATCCAATCTCAGCAGCATGAATGCTGTATGACTGAAAGTTGAATGGCTAAATTCATATGAGAATGCTCTTGGTTAAGTGGCTATAACGTACTTTGTGGCAGGAATAGTTTGGCACCGAAAAAGCCAAGAAATCAAAGGCTTATTTGAAATAATTGAAAGGACTCAGAAATGAGAGCTTAAAGCTAAGCAACTGAAAAGGTGCAAAGCAAATTGGCGTCAAATAATGATTATTCTTGTGCGCCGTGTGAAATGTCTTCATTGTTTAAAACCTGAGCAGTGATTCATTATAATGGTTATCGAGACAAGTTGGCCAGACTAAACACAATTCTGCTATTCACCGTGGAAATGAAACACTTATTTCTGAAGTCGCTTAATTGTTTCTATACTTTTATTCGAGTCCACGTCTTAAAATCCATTTTATAAAACAGCATTTAATTTCGATTTTCGCGAGTTTTGTTTGATTTCTATGAACTTAAATGAACAAATCCCCTCCAAAAATACATATTTTGTAGTGGAAATGGTGAAAAAATAAGCAAATGAAAACAACGGAATGCAGGATAGTTTGAAACTTTTCTCGTTACGCCAGGACACAGTGACTTAGGTTCATTTATCAGTTATTGAAGAAAGGATAATCTTATGAAAAGGATTTGACATTGCAAGACCTGTGAGAGAGGTTATGTGTTATCACATTTCCGCCACCAATGCCATTAATTGTATGTAAGGTTTTCATATCCATTTACTTGAGATTGAAGATACGATGAACAAGAGCCATGGTCGCTTTAAGATTTGACCTCACTAAGCAAGAAAAAAAAACGCTCAAAAGTTCACCATTTAGCGACGATGGACGTCGATTGCAATACAAATGCAAAGTAAATGGCTGAAATATAAACAACATATTATGAAAATCGTCCCTGAAACACTTTGGTTTTTAGCCTACTTCAGAACAGTCAAATCCCAGGCAACGAATTACGATGCCTTGATCTTGGCACTCAGAGCTACACCCAAATTCAATGAAAAGGAAAAGTTACTCAGTATGTGAGTTTTCATTGAGAAAAAGATGCATTTTGACTACAGTTCTATGTATAATTTAAGTTAAGTGCTGCTACTCACCAAGGCGTCTGTCCTTCTCGAGACTGATTAAAATAAAATATGTGGCTATTGTATTTATCTGCTCCTGAGTGCCACAGTTTAGCAAGCACGTTATGTCAAATCACGCTATCTGGAGATAAAACAGGCAAAAGGCAAGTTATTCTCAGATCTTTTCTATCTCCTCCGGAACTCAATGACATGTTAATTACACTTGGCGAAGCTAATAACACCAGTTTAGGTTTATAGATAACCCAACATTTTATGTATGTAAGAGAATCTAAAACTCTTTTAAAAGCCTCTGAAACGTGACTTAGTCGTGGTTGGCTGAAAAAGAATAAGGTGTTATGCGAAAAGTGCGTGGTCGTAATAAATGACGAATTCCCGGCACAGAGTTTCAAAGAAACGTTTTTCAGAGTGGAATTCCAACGAGCGCTAAAGATCGCATAATAGTCATGAGTCCATTCGATTTCTTTAGATCCCAGTTGCCTGTGCTGGCTCACGGACCTCTTCGTATCGAAATTTTCCTCTTTGTGAAGCGGTTAATGGCTGAGATCTTCGGTCTTAACATGCGCCAGGGCACTCCTACTAGAAATATTTAATATCAGATTTCTGCAGTTCTGGTCCATAATTGTTAATTATCTCCAAAATTTGCCTACTGCTATCAAATTTTGCTCTAAGGTAATTACAACATCACTTATAATCACCTAGGGAACTGAGTTACATCTCTCTTTCTCTCTCTCTGCTACAAGTATTACATTTGCATGCTACCTCAGTGGAGATAAAAAATAAAACGGAACTTGTTTATTTTGTAAACCTGGATAATCTATTTACCTCCGTTTGAGCCTTCAACCCTAAATCTATTTTGAGATCAAATTGATCTTTTTTTCCATTCCCTGTTACTTTACAGTGAACACAATACACACAGCTTTGCTGCTCTGTCTTTAAGGAGGGAGAGTTCATGTACCTTGCCTTATTCTGATGGTGATTGGTTTGCCAACAGACACCTTTTTAAGTGATCTCTGAGGAGTGCAATAAGGTCTCTTACGTTCCTGTTAGCCGACCTAATAGAGAACCTCTTATAGAGACACTTAATATACTAACCTGAGTAACTGAATCACAAAAGCTGTGTAATACTTTCAACACGCCGATGCTTTCGACAAGCTAAGATATGACGCAATCCAACCTCTGAAATAGGAAGTTTTCGGTGGGAAGTCTTCGTAAAATTTGTTGATATTAGATTAACGAGAGAAGTTTGGACTGTAAGATTTCACCTTGAGAAATTTCAGAAACAAGAAAATATTATCTATTCGACGGATCACTGAGGGTTGTAGGTTAATTGAATTTTTTGGTTAATGGGAGAATATGCCTTATCTTGATTTCTTAAACTGACAGATGAAAAAGTAAGAGGTTGAATGATTGCATTTAAGTGATTTTATGTAAATGACTGCAGTTCTTTTTATAGATATAGATGAATATTTCAAGGTCTTCAAAGGTAATTTCAAAACCAGAACAGGCGAAGTTTCTAAATGTAGAAGCAAACAAATAAAAAATGAAATGGAAATGCTGAAACAGAATAGGATTGGTTCATAATTTTGATTAACATGAATGAATGTGGCACGTTCGGCTAAATTATTAAAGGTACCGCGGAGATCATCCGTGATTCAGCTTAATTCACTCAGTCAATACCATGTGACGGTCCTTCAGCCTAATTTCCCAATTATCATCCCATGATTGAAAATGAGTAAGTTGATTATTGTGTCTCTATCATTGATATTAGAAACTAGCTACCTGATCTCGCAGAAAGAACTGAAAAATGCTCTTACTCCTGATCGATCTGTTTTACTAATTCATGACACCTATAGTTTATTTTGAAATCAGAACATATGTTTTCCTTGCTTCTTACGATTACATATTTTAAAAAGGGGCTTCATAAATTGCCCAACGTCGATCAGCATATGCTATCGTATGTAAGCAAAGGACTCCTTTGCTCGGAACACCATCAGGAAAATTTTTAAGAAAGAGACCACACTTACTGTCGGTTTAACGGTGTAATAAACCATGCGTACAGTTGAGAGAAAACGAGAAACGTTCGTTAATCAGGAGCCGAGCGTCAGAGACTGACAAGTTTTTCGAGTTCTTGTGGTTTAATGCTTTTAATACCTATCATTTTATTGGTAAAATAAACGATAGGTTTGAACCAATCAGAGCGCACGTAGTATCTAAGCTAGTAGATAAGATAACAATAATAGAGAGGTGCGCGAGTGACAACTTACTTTTCTCTTGAGAGTGGTGACGTGAATTCTTAGTACTTTGTCGATTCATGCAGTTTTTTGTTCACTGTTATTGTGATTCACCATGAGAATATGAGAATCGTGACCGTAAAAGTGGTTACCATAAGTTCCATTCCAGATGAGCATATCTAGATATAGCGCACTAAACTATCAATTTGGGGACAATTAGTTGATCCAATACTGAATTCTCTGAACTAACATTATAAGAATTGTATGGTTGACAGTAAGGAGAATTATAAATTCGGTCTAGGAGTTAAAGGGTTTAGAGACCCATCAACGGTTGTGGATCAGTGCTAGTATCTGAGCAACTTCGCACCTACTTCCTTTGACCCATCAACAGTCAACTGATAACGAGTCAAGGTTAATTTTGGACAAGGGAGGTGTAGGTGCGCAGTTACTCCGGCTCAGATACTGGCATTGATCCAAGAGTTATAGTTCCAGTTTTGCTTCTAAGAACTGGCGACTTAGTAAGGAGCGTGGAAGGGTTAAGAATTCTTTCCGTCAGCAGTTACACCTTCTAAGGATCGTCCTCTTGGTCAGTTGTGCTATTACTTTAGGATCAACGAAAAAGTTTCTGCAAAACGTGGTCTGTTCAGTTTTCCCCCATGA